CACAGCCGAACGTTGAGAGCCATATGCTTAGGATCGTTACCATGATTAAAAATAAAGTTGCTTCCAATACCCAAATTTTGGGCTGATAATTTTAAATTGTCTCTTAAAATATTTAAATAAAGAAATGATTGATTATGCCGTCAATAAATAACAAATTACCTAATCCTGATGCTGCCATGCCCCCTCCCACACACAAGAACACCTCCACTGCCATGCTTAACTGTTCCAACTAAGTTCTTAGAATGAAGTTCCTTATTTTTTCTTCTCCATACAGTTATTCGGCCATCGGAACCAAAAATGTTAAATTTGCTTTCGTCAGCAAATAGGAGATTATTCCAGTACGTTTCGGGTGTATTTATCATTGATTTTGCGAATGAAAGCCTAAGCTTTCTGTTAACCAAAAAATTTTTACGGGCAGAACGCCCATGTAATCCAGCTTCTCCGAGACCTCATCCAACAGTTTCAGGTGAAATTGAAATAGAAAACTTTGCATTAAATTCTGCAGAATTTAAGACTAAACCGGTTTTTACAATTTCTAAATAAACCCAAACGTTAGTACTTCTGTACATCCCTTGTTTATCGATTTTCTTTAAAGGTTATATTCTACTTAAATAATAAATTTCTATTCGAATTGATTGATTTAAAAAATATTATCGTTTGAATTTTTACTTGCCTTGGATCTTGGATCATATCTTTACTGCTGGCTTTAGCTACTAGGAGCTCTTACCAGTATATTATCATTTTACCATAGGCCATAAAGTTAAAAATTTAAGAGGTGTATTTAAAATACACCGCGCCCGAAGGCGAGATCAATAAATGAGAGAACTCATAAAATAAGTTTTGCTAAATTGCATATCATGGCATAGCATGGGTGATTATATACGTAAATGGTGGCGAGAAGCGAAATGAAAGTCTAAGCTTCTGCGTGAGTCAAGAAGAGCAGAAACACGTGATCAGCGTCCGGCATTTAGATTGGTCGAGGAGTCAGAGTTCGAAAAATGAAGTTTTTGTAGTTTTTGGCAATAAATAAAGTTCGAACATAGTAAAAGCAACATCTATTTGTGAATTTAAGAGTCCTATGTCTTTTGAAACACTTGAAAATCTTCTAAACTTGCGATATAATCATTAAATGAATAGGAAACTGTAAAAGGCGAAAATGAGGTCATGTAGCTCACTAGGGCTAATGAGTGAGAGTAAGCACTTGGTGTTACCACGAACTTTGATTTTAAAACACACGATACGAAATAGTAAAAATAAAATCGATGAAAAATAGTCCTAGCTTTGCAAAGTTCATCTTTCTTGAATAGTAACTGCAAAGGAATAGTAAATTTTTTTTTTTTTTTTTTACATTATTATACACTACCACCACTTAGAATTGTGGTGGATCGTTCGAGGTCTTTTCACTACGTTCTCAATAGTAGGGTCATAGTCTGTAAGCGATTTAATAGCTTCATAGGGAGAATTTCTCATATCTTCAAAGAAGTTGTGTGCAGAAATTAGGATTTGGTCGTGAATTGGATTGATATCCAGGTCTTTGTGAATTTGAGAATTTCGCACGAACCAGGGTGCGTTCACTATGCTACGTAAGATTTTGTTTTGAAGTACATTTAATTTTTGTCTGTCTATTTTTCGGGCAGTAGCCCAGGCTGGAACTGCATAGAGGATTATTGGTCGAATAAGTGAGATGTAGATATTTTTCTTGGTACGGAGGTTTAACTTAGAGTTTCTTCCAATTAATGAGTAGAGAGCAATGAAAGCAGCGTTAGCCTTATTTGTAACATATTGAATATGATCTTTGAAATTTAGGGTTTTGTCAATATAGACACCTAAATATTTATAGGAGTTGGCAACAGGAATATCTTGGTTATTGAGTCGGATATTTATATTCACTGGGATATTTTTTCTGTATCTGCGAAAGAGAACTACGCAGCATTTATCAGTATTTAGTTTGATTTTCCAGTCTTGACAAAATTTGTTAATAATGTTGACTTGGAGCTGAAGTTTCTCTAAAGCATTATTTGGACTTCGTGAACTGGTGAGGATGACTGTGTCGTCGGCATATTTGAGTATATTAGAATGAAAAGGTAGAGGCATATCATTTATGAATATTGTAAAAAGCTTCGGTCCTAAAACACTGCCTTGAGCTACTCCACTGTAAATCACTTTTTTTGAAGAGATTGCTTCACCACAGCGCACTTGAAAAGTACGATGTTTAAAATAAGAATGCATAAGCTTAATAAAGCTGTTTGGTAAAAGGAAGTTAGATAGCTTATGAAGTAAGCCAGCATGCCACACTCGATCGAAAGCTTTTTCGAAATCGAGGAAGCATGCCGCTACTCCGTTCTTTTTTGTAAATTCTTGGGCAATAAATTCAACTAAATTTAATATTTGATGTGTGGGTATTGTGGCCTTTGCGGAATCCAAATTGATGCTTGTCTATTAGATTAAGGCGTTCTAGATGATTGGTGAGCCGAGCACTAAGTACTCGTTCGAAAACTTTTCCAAGCGCTGGCAGAAGACTGATGGGTCTGTAATTTTTTGCTAGCTTTGGATCTTTTCCTGGTTTCGGGATCGTAACAATGATCGAATGTTTCCACTGCGATGGAAAGTAGCTGAGTCTAATACAAGCATTAAAAATATTTGTAATTAAGACTATGCATCTTCTAGGTAAAGCTTGCAACGCTTCATTAGAAATCATGTCATATCCTTTAGCTTTGCGCTTCTTTAATTTTTTAATAATTTGCTGAACTTCGTTTGGAGATGCAGGCGTAAAAAAAAATTAATGCTGGGACTGTTGAGGATGCTATTGACAGAGTAATTAATATCTTTTTCGTGATCAGAATTTTTATTTTCATGTTGTTTAAAAATGTTTTCTAATTCTTTTGCATGAATTTCAGCAATGGAGTCTTCGGAGTGGTGAATTTTGCCCATGTGATACAGGGGGTGAATTTGATTGGGTGAAAGATTTCTGAGTGATTTAGCTACTTTCCAAACAGAGTTTGGGTAAAGATCCATGTTTTCTAGGAAATTATCCCACGAATTTGATCGATGGGTGGCGATGTCTTCTTTTATTTTTCTGTTTAAATAATTAATATGACGTTTTTCAGTAGGATTGCGAGTAATATGCCATCTTTTTCTAAGTCTATTTCTTTCTTGTATAAGGGATTTAATTTCTTCTGGGATGCCATAGGGATTTTTATTCTTGACTGTATAGGTAGCATTATTGATAGCGTTTTGAATTTTGGAGTTTAATCTGGTGATTTCCAGCTCAATATCGCAGTCATAACGAAGTGTGGCTCTGCTGTTAACAGAATTTAGCTGTTCGGTAACCATATACCAATTAACTTTTGTATGAGCTTTAGGGAGAGGGGGATAAAATCCATAGAAGTTGAAGACTATAGGGAGATGGTCAGACGAAAGTTCTGGGAGAACATCAAGATTAGGAATATTAGGAAGGTTTTTCATCAAAACTATATCTAAAATATCCCCTAGTCCGTTGTGCGTATAGTGCGTTGGGTGATTGGGAGCAATGAGATTGATGTTACTATTGTGGATGAAGTTGCTTAAATTTTCTCCATTTCTATTTGTGACTCTACAGTTCCAAGAGGAATGTTTAGCATTTAAATCACCTGCTATTAGGTGGGGTAGTCTTTAAGTATTTTCAATTATTGAAAGTGCCGGGGGGATTGTATATAAAAAAGAAAAGGTTATTAACAACATCAGCCTTAATAAAAAATTCTAACTTTTCATCTGTTTTTTAGTATTAAAAAATACTTGAAGTTGCTCATTGGTTGTGGCTTCCTTTGTGAATCAATTTCAAACAGACGCCAACGTTATCAGTTCACGTCTGTCACCACTTACATAGCCCCCCTTATCTTGTTTGAGGATTCTCGTCTGAGGGAAAATGCACTGAGTCTCGTTTGGGGACTCAGTGCATCGCGCTATTTCCCTCTCGGATCTTCTGGATTCTCTTTTTTTTAGATCCCTTAAATATAATTTCACCTTTAAATAATATTATACCTCACAGATTTTTTTCTCATACTGTTCTTTGCTATCTGTTAAATGTCCATATGTAAGGGATGGTTTATTCTTCACTGCCTTAAATAAATTCTTAGAACTATAAGCTTATATAAATAATAGTGTGCCTCATTGTGTTATACTAGCATTAATTAACTAGTAATAAATTATGATAGTAAAATAATTAATCTTGTAATAAATTATGATAGTTAAAATTATAAATACTATGTTTAATTTGTGTTTTTAATACATATACTCAGTAATTTACACGCACACACACACACACATATATATATATATCTTTTTTTTTTTTTTTTTTGTGTGTGTGTGTGTGTGTGTGTGTGTGTGTGTGTGTGTGTGTGTGTACGGTTGTGGTCTTGTATTGTATATGGTTCTATGTTGTTTGTCTGCTGCTGTTTTTTGAAAAATGTATGAAAATGTTGGGAACCAAAATAGCATAAGTTACTTTAGTTAAATTAATATATACTTTTGTTGATATCTCAGGATGCAAGCATACATATTACTTTGTATTCCATGCTAAATACCTTGATACGAAGCATTTTAACAACGTCAATATTCCCCCCCCCCCAGTAACACATCTATTCAACATTAACAAACACACTCACCACACACACACACCTTTATTGTAAATGAAGACAAATTCTTCTCCTTTTAACTACACTCATGGACACAATCGTATTTTAGGATATTTTCTACTTCTTTTCCTTTTCTTTCTATAGGCCCTTTTTTTTCCCCTCTATTATTTTTGGGCCATTTATTTTAAATTTTATTTTGTCCCATCTTTTCTTCCTGGCCTTTTGAACTCGTACAAGATGTACGAAGTTCCTTTTTACTCTCCTCAAATACGAAATTGCCCCTCTTTCTATATACCTTTCCTTCGCACCTATGCTTGATTTTTTGCCCATCGGTGCAGAAAGACTTAGCGGGTGCAAAATAAGACATCTGTCTATTTTGTCTGTCTGTCTGTTTCGTATTTGACACTTCAGAGCACGGAGTGCATCAGAGGGTAACGTATTTAGAATTTCGGCAGTGAAATATTGTTTATTTACGTTTTAAATTTTGTTTCTATATATCTTTTGTTTAATATCTGAAGTTTGAGATTCAGTATGGTTGATGAAGGTACGAGGAAAGTTCTAAGTAAAATTCCTCTTTTGAAAACGAAAGCTGGTCCCCGTGAAAAAGAATTATGGCCCCAACGACTGAAAGAAGAATATCAAGCCCTTATTCAGGTAATTCAGTTGTGTATGTCTTTTTTAATATTTCGTTGGGAATTAACGTACGTAATTTTTGCTTTTATTGTGTCAGTGCTTTAATTGCCTGAAATGAACAGACTGGGGGGGATTGCATGTATTGTGGGCCATATGGGTTCAGTTTTGTGTTAGACATAATGACCAAAGTGAAGTATCAGGTGTATGGGAAAGTTTTAGATTTCGTTTGTAGGTAATGTTTTTATTCTGGCAACCTTGCTTTGCTGTTCATGATCATGGCTGGCACACATTTACGCAACTATGAGTTTTTTTTTACAAAAGTTTGCAATTGGGTGCCCCTTGTTTTTTGGCGATTTTTCCTTGACGCCGAGATCGGCGCCAGGAAGGCACAATTTCAAGATGGCCGTTACACAAAACCAAAATAAAAAGTCAAGGAATTGCACAAACTCTGTGTCCATGTACACATCGATCTGTTTTCAATTAAAAAAAATCTCAGAATTGCACAAACTATGCATTGCGTACTGCCTTAAATTTTTCCATGTACACATCAATCTGTTTTCATTTAAAAAAATCAGGAAGTTAAAACTATCATTGTAACCAGAAATAAGGTTTCATTGACAAAATTAAAAAAAAAAAAAAAAATATCGCTAATCAAAGGGGCTTCCAATTCTACACTAGAGCCCTTTTACCAAGTTCATACTGGTCGGCAGGTATTTTCATGGCAGTTTCTCTACAACTGTTGACCAGACTTTTCAGTTGATGAAAGATCTAAAGAACATGCTTATCACACTAGTAGTCAGACACCCAGTATACTGAAGAAATAAAGAGCATGAACAGTAGATGGTTTGTCAAAAATTACCTCTAAATTGTCAAATGAAATTTTTCCTCATAACTTCTCTCTCGCTTTCTTCACTATCGATATTTTCTGAATTAGAACATGTATATGATTTTGCCATCTGTTGATTGATTGGGACATTGTCATAGCAATGGAAAAACTTCTGTTTTATCATAATTTATTATAATTTCAAATTTTTTCACAAATTCTATTAATTGAAAATTTATACTTTCTGTTTGCAATATCTGAAAACCTGATTCATGGTTATCATTCATAAAGCTTACCTAATATTTGCTATATGTTATTTGCAATATATCACGAGATGGCAATTAGAGGTATATTGTTTGGCTAAATTTTGTCTTGCTTCTATCATGTGCATAGAAAGTTAAGCCTCAGTTTAGTTGTTTATTATACTTAGGTTGGGAAAAATATATTTCTGACCCCCCTTGGTGAAAAATAGGGATTTTTTGCGGGGGAGGTTGCCATTCGTGTTCCGTGCAACATCATCCTAAGTAAAATGGCATCCAAAATGTAATGCAATAAAACGTAATTAAAGCATAAAAAATTATAATATCAACTGCATTTTAAATCAAAATAAAACAAGGAAATTACATAAAATGGAAAGGTTAGAGTAGATTTAAGGGTGCCTCTTGTATTATCGCAAAGTTGTTGTTTCATTCATGGTAACCTAAGTAGTTGAACGTTATGGAAACCCTATTATGACATATTTTGTTGTGTGATTGATTGCGGTGAATTTGAATGATGGGAAAAAATTTGTAAGGCTTGTGGTGTATGTTGGTTAGGAAGTTTGTTGCTTGTTTTGTGGTTTAGATGGTAAAATGGCTGAATGTGGTAAAATTAATTTGAAGTTTCTGTACGATTTGGAATAAAAGAGGAAAAGAGCATTAATTGACTAATATGAGCATTAATTGACTATTACTTAATAGCCAATATAAGTGTCCTCTTTGTACGAAGGAAAATGCGTATGGTTGAACATTGGAGGATTCTGCCACTACAAAGGAGGTTTTTGACTCTTATTTTTGTGAATTTATGTGGTGACACCAGTATACAGATTCTAGTTTAGATAATTTTAGGAAGTTTTTGGATGCTGTCAAGAAATTTTGTTTGACTGAAGACGGGCAAATTTTTAAATAAGGTAAGTGGATATTTCCTTTGTGTAGTGCTAAGATGAATTTCCTTTTTTATGTTATTTGATTTTTTTAAATTTAAAATGTAGTTTATTGAGATTATATATTTTTGGTTGGCTGCTCCTTTGATGTTTTAAGTGAAAATAGTTCAATGTGTACATGGTTTATGCAATTCTCTGATGTTTCTTTAAGTGAAAATATGTTGATGCGTACATGGATACCGAGTTTGTGCAACTCTTTGACTTATTATTTTGGCTTTGTATAGTGGTGATTTTTGGCACAAAATTTGCTGCTGCACAAAGCCAAAATAACAAGTCAAAAAATTGCACATACTCGATATCCATGTGCTGCCAAAAATTGCCAAGCGTCATCCATAAATATATTTTTACCAATGGAAATACATATTTTCTAATCTGCACTCTACAAAAAGGAAATATCAATACCGTATTCAGAAATTCCTGTGTCTTTGGTGTGTAGCACACAGAATTCCTAACAGCAGTTGCCACATAAATCCACTAAAGTGTCCTCCATAATGCTGGACTGCCAGTGGTATTTCTTTCGAAAATCCGTTTTTATTACGATCCACATACCTTCCAAAGTGTTGATATGAGCTCCAGTTTCCGGATCCGTAAATGTCACTGTCCGATTTATTGAGAGGTGAAGGATGCCATTTAAACCTTCATTTACACACCAGTCAATCAGTACTTTCTTTCCTATTCATTCAAAATCTTACAGAAACTTCAGATTAATCTTGCCACTGGCAGCCATTTTACGGTATAAAGCACAAAAAAAAGGAATGTACTTCCTTTTTTCTGTAGCGTTGGATGTCGGTACCTAACCGACATCCAACACAGAAATAAGCCTTGAGAAATATTTTCCCAACAATCATATATTACAATCAGTCATGCCATGATAGGGTTTCCAAAACATACATTGTAAAATACCTAGGTTAACACAAATGAAACAACAACTTAGCGATGATCCAAGGGATACTCCGAAATGTAGACTACTCATACCTGCCAACTTTTACGAATTTTTCGTAATTTTTAAGAAAATGCGTTTGTCTTTACGATTTTACGATCGTAATCCATTTTTTACGATTTTTTTTCCTTTTTCAAGTGTTTTTAGTAATTTTTGTTGAAATTTTAGAATTTTTCGCCAATTCAGCGATTTTCGTCAGCGATTCATGATAAGTCACGGTGGAAGAAGCGACATTGTGAAGCATGTTAAGTCTAAAAAGCATGAAGTTAATGCTTCGGCTTCGACAACATCAAAGAAAGTGGATGATATTTTTTCAAATTCGGCTACGAATTCGGATGCCGATGTCATTTTGGCAGAGTGTTTGTTTACTGCATTCCTCGTCGAACACAACGTGCCGCTAAGCGCTGCCCATCACGCCGGTCAAATTTTCAGACGGATGTTTCCCGACTCCAAGATTGCTCAGAAATATGCTTGTGCTCACACGAAAACATCTTCTATTGTGAACGAAATTGCTTGCAATACACAAAGTAAAACGATAGCTGCACTCCAGAATTCAGCATTTTCGGTGTCAATCGATGGCAGCAACGACAGCGATTGGAAGCTTTACCCCATCGTTGTCACATATTTCTGTGATGTTTCTAATGAAATGAAAACTCATCTTTCGCGTCTTCCATTGTTAAATGGAGACACTATGGGGGAAAATATTGCCTCCTTGTTAATTAATGAGTTGAAACAACTTAACATCCCAATGTCAAACTGCATTTCATTTGGTGCAGATAATGCTCATGTCATGGTGGGTGACAAAAAGGGTGTAGCCTCTTTCCTCAAAAAAGAACAAAATGAATTAATTGTTATTGGATGCCCATGCCACTTAATTAATTTGGCAGCAGAAAAAGCTGCAGCTGCTTTACCATTAAATATTGACCAGCTTCTGATTGATGTGTTTTTCTATATGGAAAAAAGTGTAAAAAGGAAAGAAAACCTAAAGAATTTCCAAGAACTGTGCTCTGGTGAAACGAGAAAAATTCTGAAACATGTATGCATGAGATGGTTATCCTTAGGCAGAGCTCTAGGAAGGTTTATTGAACAGTGGGATGCATTGCTAAAATATTTCCACGAAGAGACCAAAACGAAACCACAGATCCCATCAAATTTGTCGGCATATAAGATTCCGAAAACAAACTTTGCTTCTAATCAAAATGCTTTAAAAGGGAAAAGCCAACACACAGAATCAAACCCTTTAGAAAGAAAATGCTTAGAAGACTCCTCAAAGGTCAACTTTGTTAAAGAAGTTGAAGGGAAGAAGAAAGTCTTCTATTAGCCGGGAGGAAAGGATTTTCTATCTTCTTTCTTCGGACTTGAACACAAAGCATATTGTAGTTTTGTGTTAAGTACCATTAAGATTTTTGACAGTGTGTAAATACCCTTCTACAATCAGCTTCGCCAAAATCTCCCCTGCTTATCCAAATTCTTAATGATCTTTTGAAAGAACTTTATACTAAGTTTGTAAAACAGTCCGTTGTGAAAAACAGTGTGTTGATTCGTGTTGCCTATAATAGTTTGGCAAATCAAAAGGATGACAATGATCTTATAATCGGAAATCAAACCAGGGAACTTGTAAATTCTTTGAAAGATCATGAGAAAAAAGAATTTTTTCAATGTGTTAGAAAGTATTTTTCCTCAGCCTGTGATTACATTGTAAGGAAGTTTCCTTTGCAAAATGAAGTTCTTTTAAATGCTGAAGTGGCAAATTTGAAACAAATTGAAAGTTCATCTTTTGAAAAGATTCTTTTTTTATTGATAAATTTCTATTTTTGTTAACAATTAAGGAAAATGAATGCCGTAATGATGCTTTAGATGAACTACAGAACCAATTTTCTGCTGCACAGTTTGAAGACTGTGCCAGTTCTGGAGAAGATAGACTTGATGTCCTCGTTGGTACCTTAAAAAGAATAAAAAGAGCTGATGGAACACCAAAATATGATAAGACTAGCAAGAGTTTTATGTGCTATTCTCGTAATTCCACACAGTAATGCTGAGTGCGAGAGAGTCCTCAG